AACAAAAACATTTCACGCTATTTCGAGCTACAAAACCCGTGTGTATGTTTTTCGAATACTTGTCGCTCTAAATTTTCATTTATAGCCATCTACTTTTATACATTGATGAGTAAACACGGTTCTTGCAAACGTTAATGTCGTTAACGTTAATGTTCTAACTGTGCAACAACAATAACAACAACATAGGTGCCTTAATTAGGTCAGACCTCCCTCCCGGCTCGGCAAAAGAGTATCTTTTAACGTAATACATAATTGAATTTAACATAATATATATATGGATAAACGATTGTGACAAAATTATGCGAGCGACATTGTTAATAATATCTCCGCAATGGACATTATGATACATAAACACAATCCACCCTTTCTCCGTTCTCACACCAACATACATGTACGCGCACAAATGTATTAATTGCGTATCGCATTGCGAAGCGCTGAAACAAATAGCTTTTAAGTGATAAAGATCGAGCATTGAGTCGACGGTGTCGCGTCGCCGATGGACGTTTAAACGAGACGTATTTTTTTTTTTTTTTTTTTTTCCATCGAAAACTTGAAAAGCCATCTAAGTTATCCCTGCGTGTTACTCACTCAATGCGTTTCTTACCCTACTTCCTCGCAACTTTCCCGGCGATGCTTATCAACGTCGAGATATGTCCGGCGTTTTCTCGAGACAGACAGCTCGAACGTAAAGTTTAGCGTTATACAACCCCGATGGGACACACAACAGAGTCTCGCCTTCTCTCTCTCTCTCTTTCTCTCTCTTCCTCACTCTCCTCTTTTCCGGGTACGCCCGGCTGCTTCATAAGCGCTTTCATCTACTTATCGTCGCTCTTGTATATCACCGCGCGCTTTTATACACTTCCTTCGTCTTCGTTCGCTCCGTTTTTTTTTCCGCGCGTTTTCTCGTCACGCTTTTTTCCACGAAAACTGACGTTACCGAGCGAAAACCAATGACGCGGATAAATTCGCCAACCTCTACAAAATTTTCTCATCAATGTCGGATTTGGTCTCGCCAACATTCCCCTCGGTTTTTTCTTCTCGCCCGCAATCTTCGAGAGAGGTCGGTTTGTTAAGATCTCTCTCTCTCTCTCTCTCTCTCCCTTCGCTTTTCAGAACTGATTCAGTTTGACATCGCCATTACGCTAATTGAAGCGTCACGTCGCCCGTTGGAGACGTCGACGTTCCTCTTGTCGACTAACGGGCGAAACTTTGGCGAAATCTTTGTGACGAGTCCGGCCCGCCGATGTCAGATAATAAGAAACCGGTTTATTTGTTGCGCGAGACAATATACAGTAAGGAAAATGAAATGACAGTGCCTCGGCTCCGCGTTTGTTGAATCAAGTTCGCTTGAATTAAATACGTTAAATTCGCGAAGTTTCCTTCATTAAAAACGCGAAGTTAATTCGCTATTACTCTTCGACAATTAGACGACGATAATCACTTTTCTTAGATAGCGCATTTTTATAATTGTGAAAAAAATAAATTTTTATTTTTCTAATAAAGTGTTTTTTAACCCGAGAGAAATACTAAAGTCTTTAAGAGTTACGCGTTGGATGTGCGTGCAAAATATTTTTTAAATTTTGTAAATCATTTACACGCAATATTAATTTAAATTAATTAAGTTTAATTCACATCAGATGCTTAGTTTGCGTCTCGAAAGTCTCAATGTATCGAATGCCTGGCTCGCATCTCGCACATATAGAAAATCCTTCTAATCTTCTTAATCAAAAAAAAAAAAAAAAAACTAACGTTTCGTTAACGAAAACTTTGCGAATGTAAACTAGAAATAACAGTGACATCGATGCATTATCAAGGCGAAAATTCGCGAAGTTCAAGCAAAGATTCCTCGCTCCGATCGTTCTCTTTACTTTCAGTTTCACAAAACTATTCTCTGGTGCACTTAGCTCGATCGTACCTTCATTGGTCTCTTCGTGTGTAGAGCGTGTCGACCCAGTAAGATTTCACGAGTCGTCCTCGACTTCCTCTTCGATCTGTCATTCTCGTTGTTTCCCGCTAGTGTTCGTCGCAAGTGAGCGACCGATCGAACCTTTTCGCTTGCGGAACGAATACGAAAGATATCGCGCGCGTATATACTGCTTGCAGTTAATGTCCCGGAGATCGAGGAACCCGAAGATATGGAGGCGTGACTGTTCGCGCACTCGCTCCAGAACGCGTCAGCAAATGGACTGCACACAAGCTGATGGAAGTTTCGAGTAATTCGAGAGACGATTTCGTCGACGAGTAAAAAATGCCAGGCACGTAAAAAAAAAAAAAAAAGAAAAAGAAAAGCGTTAAAACTTGCGAGCAGTTAACGAGATCCCGAAGACACGGGATCTTCAACGACGAACAGACGTAATTTGCGCGTTTAATGGCACACAGAAATCTTGTTATGAGAGAGAGAGAGATAGATAGATAGATAGATAGAGAGAAAACAAAAAAAAATCAGAAGAATCCTTAGAGAGCGCGGTCGCAACGAATGAAACGCGAGATGGAAACACGATAAACACGGAACAAAAAGCAAAGAAAATTTATTAACAATAGGAAACGGATAGAGAGAGTGCGGAGGAAGCGAGCGACCGAGAACTCTGGGCTCGAATATTGAAAAACAGAGCGGGCAAAAAGAAAGAAGAAAGAGAGAAAGACAGAAAGAAAGTAGAGTAGAGAGAAAATTAGATGAGATTGCCGGAGGAAGACAATTACAGGTATCGTCGGCGAGAAAATAAGAAAGCGCGATCTGATATATAGAGCACCGCTGGGAAAGGTGAAAAAAAAAAAAAAAAAAAAAAAATTCGACGGCGAGAGATCGACGAGGCGAGAAGTGGCGCGCGGAAATCACCCCCGGTGGAAAGAAGAAAATTCGGTGAAGATTTACGTCGAAAGACGTAAGTGGAAGAGAGACCGGACAGATGAACTCGCGCGGCGCAAAACTCTTCAAGGAAGATCTCGACGACACCGTTTTCTAAACGAGGGATAGAATAATTCCTCGGTATCGAACGAGGGAGATGAGAACAGAGAAGGAGGGTGAATTAACGAGCATATGGAAATCGTTGTCTTTAATTAGAAGCGAAGAGAAACAGACACGCATCAGGCGTAAAGACACATCGGAAAACGCGAGATACTGGATTCGTGCGAATCAAGACGGACGATCCGAAGAAGCTCACTTTGTTCATCTTCGCGCGCTCTCGTCAGCAATGGCGAACGAATCGTTCACGGATGAGCAGTTTTGACGCGACCTAAAGCGCGCGCACGTGCCGCCGAGCACTCTCGCATATACTGACGAGATACGCGGATGCGAGTCCTTTTTCTGGCCGTGTATCGACCCCTCGAGAGAAGAAGAGAGAGAGAGAGAAAAGTTCGCGCGAATAAGATAAGCCGTTTTAATCGCTCGCTCTTGGCAACCACGTCGAAACATTCGACGGTTTGAAAACGCGCAACGACGGACATACTCTCTCTCGAAGCAAATTTTTTCCGACCACGTGGTGCACTCTGTGTTCAGGAATATACAAAAAAAAAAAAAAAAAACAGGAATCACTCGTTAAAGAAAGTTCAAACGAAATTATATACGCGTTAGATTAAATCGAAATCGTCTTTGTTACTGCCGACTCGTGATTTTCAAGAGTTCTCGTGCAACGTCGATCTCTCATCGATATTATAATAAATATATATATACGTCGTTCGCGTGTTCAGTGTGCACAGTGTCGATTTCCCGCCGATGCGACGCCGTGAACTTGAAAAACGGAAGTGGCAGCGAACGGAAGCGGCAGCACCTGTGTCGGAGCGCGCGATCTACGATTTTCGGGACGCGCGGCGGTGGTGATCGTCGTTTTCTTCTTTTCACCGCCCCCTCCCGCCCCGCGCGCGGTGCGTGGGTTAGTGTGTCTTCTCGCGACGCAGGGGGTGACGCGCAACATGGGCTGCGAGCTGAGCAAACTGGCCAGCACGAAGTCGCGCAACCAGAACGGAAACGATGGCGTGTCGCCTCCGCCGCCGGCCGCCACGGATCCACGACTTCCGCTCACGGCCCGGCAAAAATTTACAATTATCGCTAGCTGGAAAGCGGTATCCAGAGCGCTCGAGCCAACCGGAATATACATGTTTATAAGGTAACGTCGTTTTGGTCGCCGTTAACACGCGTGCGAGCGCGTTTTTTCACACAACTCGGCGGAAACAACGCATATTACGACAAACGATCGTTCTTCGCGCGCGTTTGAACAAGGTCGTGATATACGACCGTAAAATCCGGATGCTATTTTTCACACGTTTCGCTACGTCGCGGCGAAATATTTTTTTCTTTTTAATTGCTTTCTCTTTTTCAAAGTTCTTTTTGTTTTCTTCATTAAATCAAGTAGCAATTGTGAGTATATACGGATTAAATTGTGTCGCCAACAGAGAAGGAGAGAGAGAGAGAGAGAGTTAATTGCAGTTCTTGTGTCCACACACCATACATTGAGACATTAAAATCAATTTTATTCCGATATAATCTCCCTCCTTCTCTCTCTCTCAGTCCCGTCGCAAAGAGTATAAGAGTCTATAATTACATAGGCGTATTTTTACACTTTTTACTTGTTTCACACATTATCGATCGCGCACAGCGACGTGGTCGTTACTTCGCGCATAAAAGTTTCCACAATAAATATGAAATGCTGTAGAAACGATATCGCGTCGATTGAACGCTTCGAATCTCTCTCTCTCTCTCTCTCTCTTTCTCTCTCACGCGCCATTAATTAAAATAACTGTATACACCCTGAAAAAACACAACCAAGTCCAATAAAATTAAGATCAAACAAAAGATGCATTTACGTGTGGCTGATTAATGTAAAAAGTGACGTCAAATAGCGCTCAGATATGTGACAGCATATTAATGGACTCATATCATCCCTTGAGCTTTGTCCCACAAAATTTGATTGCAAAATTAATTGTTGATTTTTCTCTAACGATCCGCGAGAAGTTTTTCTTTTTTTCACGATTTTGTGTGCAGAAAGAATAAATTTACACAGATTTAAATCTGAATTAAATTTTACTTTTAAAATTGTTAGTTCTTTCCAATGTTAGTTTGAATTTCTGAAATTATTTCGCAAACTTTGAAGAAATTCGCGTTGAAAAAAAAATAAAAAATCGACCCGAGAAGTCAATTGAAAGAACAACATCACCCCGGTCGAGAAGTCAAACTCGGATCTTTCGTCGGTTTAATTCTCATTGCTGTAAAATATCCTTGTATCCTTGCCATCGAGCGGGAAATTTAACGAGATACACAATTGTGCTTTAGGGTATATTAATGTCTCACTCGTACTATAATGTCACTAAAGGAGAATAAAGGATATTGTAAACGTAGGAAACGCTCCTCGGATTTTCCGGTTAATCTCTTTTCGTGGGGTGTACAATCGAAATTTGTGCGGCTGGAGCTAAATGATGTCACGTCTTGGAATTTCGGTGCGACAACAAACGACGACTCCATTTATACGAGGAGACGCCGCGACGAACTACCATCGTGATTTCGACCCAGAAATTGAATAATCAATTTCTCTTTCCCCCGTGGATGTGTCGCTTGTTGTATTGCCGGGGAAGAGAGTATAATGGAAGGACGCCCTGTCGAATTCCGGTAGTTCGGAAAGGGATAAATATACATTTTCCCGCGCGTTTGTCAGAACTCCGGCGCATTTCGCCCGAGTCACGCGCCATTACATGATTAGCTGAGCGTTTAGGCTCTTCAAGGCCGCCATCAACGTCAGACGCAACCCTGAGAGGGTGGATGTCGATCCTTATGCCCCCTTCACGCTCGTTTTCACCGACGTTCCTTTGTAGAGAGAGATAGAAAGAGAGAGAGAGAGAGAGAGAGAGAGAGAGAGACAGAGGGAAGAGACGGAGGGAGAAACAGAAAGAGCGGGAGCTTGTGTCGCAAACCGGGCGTTGCTCGTGTCATCGCGCTCGTGCATCGAACTGAGGGATAATCTTCTTTCTGGAAACCGTGTGTTTTAATCGTACAAAGCAGTGCCGGTAACGCGCGGCTCCGACGTCGAAGCGCGCGCGGTTTCTATCGGGGTCGTTTAACCCTTAAACATATCAATTTTTCCGCTTCCGCACAAAAGCTCTCGATAACAGCGAGAGAAACTCATTGTTTTCGCGACCATAAAACAAAGCGGGGCACATTTTATTAGGCGGATGTGCATTGTCCGGAAAGAATTACCGATTATTATATTTATTTTAAAAAATAATTATAACACAAAGTATTTATATAACGTATAAAATTAGAGTAGTTCTAATATTTAAAATTACACTATTATTTTAAAAATATTTAAAACATTAACAATTGTTACATTTGATACTCTTATATATCTCTCGTATATTTAATAATTATTTTTAAAAATAAATGTCCAGTCATTGGGACATTAATTCCCAAATTTCAAACGTGCAATACTTTGTCCACTTTCATTTCGTAATAAGGAAACACTATCACACACGAGAGAACGTATTAAATTTCGTAGATGCAAAACGCTATTATATTTACGACGCGAAAGCGTTAAATTAGTTTTCATAACTATCGCGCAAATAATAATCCGAGGTGAACAGCTCTCTAAATGTAATGTGAATAAATTACTTTTCTCAATTACGAGCGGGACGCGGGGCGCGTCTTTCATTACCGCGCTCTTCTCCAAGAGCCGGAAATATATTCATTCGTTACGGGAGAGAATCCTCGCAAAGGACGATCGATTAATTCGCCGAGTAGGTACTGACTCGCAAGACCGTGTCCCGTCTGTTCGCTAATTTTCACAGGATTTGCGAAGAGCTTCAAGTTTACGAGTCTGCGTCGGGACGAGGGTTATTTCTGGAATGCTGCAGGGGTTGCTTTTGTGGTGGCGGCGTTTTATTACCGTGAAAAATGCGCGGAAACGTCCTCTCACAGTTTCGTCGATCGCGAAAATCTGGCAAACTATACAACATTTCTCTATTCTACGTTTGTTCGCGGCAATCCTCTTCTTCGCTCGATCGATTCAGTTTAACGCCGGCAAACGAAAACGGCGGGCTTTCGTTTGCTGATTTTTGAGCGAGAATCAAGGGGATACGTCGGTCGTATGATCGTTACGGGATTGCGCACAGTAATGCGCTTTTTCTCCTGCAGCTTACGATTGCAGCCGCGTTCGCATGCCGCGTACCCCGATGTTCGATACAACGAAGGGATTGAACGTTCGCCGAAGCGAACGAAATTTTCGGAATACCTTTCGAAGTTTTCGCCCGCGGCGGCTGTGTGCGCAACTTTTTAATCTTCTTTAGTGATGATCGTTTTGAGAATGCGTGTGAGCGCAGAACAAAAGAGACTTTCAATATGGGGGGAAAAAAAATTGTGTCGTTAAAAATATTTATTTTAATCCGTCAAAAATGTCAAATATTTCGTAAAAACTGTACGTATCATATTTTTGTATCCTCGTTAACTCCCGGAAGACATGTTCTTTCTTCAAAGAACGGAGTCAACTTCTGACTCGTTTCTACTGAATAATCAAAAGCGCCGCTTCGCATACACAAATATAAACGTACATGTATACATTTCTTTTTTAATTTTTAGTATTTTTGTGTATAAATATATATATACATATATATATATCATTTTCTTAAGGTTAAACTCAAAATTAGCTATAAGACCTGCTATAAATGTAGTTAGCAAAGATGTAATAAATAAAAGATCCGAAAATCGACTAGAACATAATAATCCATTAAATCGAATTAACAAGTACATACCCATTTAAATATACATGTTATGGATATTACTTAATAAATGTTGTTATGTTATATAACTTAATAAATATTTATATATTTATAACTTAATAAATATATGGATATAACTTAATAAATATTTATATATTTATAACTTAATAAATATATGGATATAACTTAATAAATGTTCTTATGGGTATAACTTAATAAATATTTCCTATCGGATCTCGAGCGACCCAGCCATCTCCAACGGGTTGGGGGGGGGGGGATTAAACTATATATTTATCTTTGTAGAAAAATATGTACTTTTTCTTTTTTTTTTTTTTTATATTGTATCGCTTTCTGTAATATATCTGGATTTAAAACCGAGCGATTTTATTCAAAATCCCACAAAGAAGAGGAAAACGCTCTCTATCCTCACAGAGAATTACAATTATGTTCTTCTGTGACAATGCGGCACAATAGAGTCGACGAATCGAAATCTCCAGGCATTCACCGATAAACGCCGGTCCATAGCGGGGGTCTATAATCGAGATTCCAGAAGGCCTCTCGCTTTTAATTGAGGCGCACAGTCGAGTCACCTGAAAGCGACGGCGGATTCGTCGTTTGCCGGCACAATCGGACATCGATCCAATCGTAATGCGCCGTAAACGAGATTAACGTACCGTCTCTCTCTATTCGTCCAGTGTGCGTGAATTCTTGCCGGGTTAAAGAGTTGTTTGAATCATAGTTCAATTCTCACATCGTCGATGTCGAGAGATTCTCTTCTTTCTCTCCCCGCTGCTTTTCTCTGAACGACCAGCGTCTACTATTTCCATTTGCGATATTAGATTGATAGACACGATTACGTCAGACACAATTGACGAGAATAATCCGAAGAACCGCGTTCCCACTTACATCAGTTCTTCAATTTTTTTTCCATCAAACAAAATCGTTCGTCCTTGTGACTATTCACCTTCGCCACGTGGCCGCTAACTCGGCAGGTTTTTGTCGAAATGACGACGCAGAAAGTGCGGAAATAAAAAAACGTCGATCAAAATGACGAAGCGATTACCTTTTGACCCGATATACATAACGGAACTGTTTTTTTTTTTTAATTTTTTGCTACATTTCAGCTAATCGCGCGCGAAACAAAAAGAGTTAATGGATTTACGATCGCGATCGGATTGCATAAATGTAATCTGAAATACATTATTTGTAAATGCGCAGATGATATACTATATATATACCACTGGGAATATCATTAAAATATGTATAACGAGATACGATCGGAGCTCCAAATTAGATTCGTTCGTATCGATAAATTGTGGATAAACACGCGGTTGTCCATGACTTTCTTTTCTTATCGTCCGATATAGAATTTGTTCTTTATCTGTCCTCCGCTTGTCTTCGGAGG